ATGCTGGTGCCACTTATCAAAGAGCTATCCAAACGTGCCTTGGTGATCAGATCGGTGAAAACGTAGAGGCATACGTGGATGACGTAGTAGTAAAAACAAAGAACCCGGACACACTAATTGAAGACTTAAAGCAAACCTTCAAAAACCTGAAAAGGTGGAGGTAGAAATTGAACCCAAACAAGTGTGCATTCGGAGTTCCTTCAGGACAACTACTCGGATTCTTGGTCAGTCATCGTGGAATCGAAGCTAGTGCTAAGCAAATTCGAGCCATAACAGAGATGGGCCCTCCTCGAAGTGTCAAAGATGTGCAGAAACTAACAGGCTGCATGGCGGCCCTCAATCGTTTCATATCAAGACTCGGCGAAAAAGGGTTACCTTTCTTTAAACTACTAAAGAAGACAGACAAGTTCGAGTGGACAGAAGAAGCCAATGAAGCTTTCAAGAGACTTAAGGCATACCTCACCTCCTCACTAGTTCTCACACCTCCAAAGAAAGACGAAGACATGATGCTATATATTGCGGCAACTTCTACTATAATCAGCACGGCGATAGTCATAGAAAGAGAAGAAGGGCGCGTATATAAGGTACAACGCCCCGTATACTACATCAGCGAAGTACTGTCAGAATCAAAGATCTGGTACCCACATGTGCAAAAACTACTCTACGCTCTCCTGATCACTTCACGCAAGCTTCGCCACTATTTTGAAAGCCACAAGATTACCGTGGTGACATATTTCCCACTCGGAGACATACTACACAATAGAGACGCAACAGGGCGCATATCTAAGTAGGCAGTTGAACTTGGTGCTCTCAATATCGATTTCACCCCACGGAAGGCAATTAAATCTCAAGCCCTTGCCGACTTTGTAGCCGAGTGGACAGAGATTCAACAACCTATGTCAAATACCATCCTTGACCACTGGAAGATGCTATACAGGAGAGGTTTTCAGTCCTTTGAATAACTCAGATTCAAGACCCTCCAACTCTTTGTTCCAAATAGCAAGAGGTTCGGGGGTTACACTCAATGAGTGCACTTTTTTCTCCGGAAAAGCGCACATCATCAAGACAGATCACTTCAAGACCTCACGACAAAAAAAACCGGGACCTAGCTATATCCGAGCTCTTTTTGATAAAGAACCCGGGTATATGCTCAGGAACCCTCAAGAGAAGATCCTCTAGCTCCTTGTGCCAAAAAGCAAGAGGCTCAGGGGCTACACCCAAATGGGAGTATTTTTTCTTTAAAAAGGTACACATCACGTGAAGATCTCACGAAGCGCTACACGGTTTCGCTCAAGAAAGCACTCGGACGACGCTTGTTCCTGCTTAGCAAGACCTGAAGGAACAAGACGAGGCTTCTAGAGCTCAACCATGAAGTGCTCGGGGGCTTGTCGATGCGGGACCCACAGGATACCCCGCAAGGAAGGGAGAAGATCTAGTCTAACTAGGATTCTTCTCATGTAATCCTAGTAGTAGTATTATTCTGTAATCCTACTAGGAACTCTCATTGTAAACCGACTAGGACTCTGGTCTTCTGACTATATAAAGGAGGGCAGGGGTTCCTAGAGACGGGACGAGACGACTTTACGACACAACACTTTACAATCAATCCAACGCAAGGCTAACGCCGACTGGACGTAGGGCTATTACTTGATCAACGATCGAGGGTCCGAACCAGGATAAATCGACTCTCTCTTGCGTTCACCGTCGAGTTCCGCATACGCTGAAGCCCGAACATACTGCCCCGGGGACCCCCGTGGCAGGCTATCGGTGGTCAAACATCGACAACCACCCCGCCGGCGGTCACCGCCATTGAAGAAGAAGCCGAACACCACCATGAGCGGGAAAAGTCCCATCGCACGCTGCCCTTGAAAGGAGTCGAAGTAGACACCCGTCATGGGAAACGGGATCAAGCCGTCGGCAATCACCCATCGACCGGGAGCCACGCCCCCAACTTCTCCAGCTCTAGGATCTTAGCACGCCACCAGCGACCACTGCCGCCGAGCGAGGCTTGAGCTAAATCCGGCCGGCCAGCAACCACAACACCCACAGATAGCTCCGTATCCTTGCAAAAGAAGGCTAACAACAATATCACCTAGCAAAGATGATGAAGCACCAGCCCCGGACTCCGGTGCAGAACTCCCCGACCTCGCCATAGGCGCTGGAGAAGAATGCCGCCGAGACAAAGGAGATATGGGGAGAAGTTATTCTCCAGCGTCGTCGACTCCTCCGTCTCGCCAACGCCGCCTAGAAAAGCACGTCGCAGAAGAACACCCTCCCAGCGAACCCTAGCTCCGCCATCAGTAGATGGCGAGCAAACCCTAGACCTAGGTAGACTTCCACCTACTCTATATATAGCCACACGGTGATTCCCCGACCCATTCCCCTCTCCGAAGCCTCTCCGGCCACCGAAGAGGAAAGGGCCGGCGAAATCGCTGTCGGAAACGCGCGTTGCCTCCTTTTCGCTCTGGACAATTCAGCACGACGAACTTGACCTTCAAGATGCGACATCAAAAGTCCAAGAGGTTACCCATACGGCCGTACAAGCTTAATACTCCATTCGTCCCTAAATAAATCAATTTCTAGAATCCATGCAAGTCAGCTATTTTAAGTTTAACTAACTTTGTAGGAAAGATTGACAACATTTACGACATAAAATGGGCACATTATAAAAATATATTCTATGGTATATCTAATGATACTAATTTGATGTCATAAATCTTGACGGGTTTTCTAAAAATTTGGTCAAAGTTTACAAAGTTTAACTTAAGATAACTCTAGAAATCTATTTATTCACGGACTGATGGAGTAATAATTTCGGTCAATGGAATTGCTCTACAAAGCCTGTTATTGGTAGCTTCTTTCTTAAAACCAACGTCTCAAAATAAGCCTGTCATTTGCTCTACAAAGCCTGGTGAAGTCAATGGAATTGCTCTACATAGCCTGTTATTGCTCTACAGAGCCTGTTATTGCAATTGGTCTGGTGAAGTTATAGGCCGGTTTCCAGCCCATTAGCAGGTTTACCGGCATCCCATCAAGAATCAACGAGCTTTAAAATGCATATAAGCCTTTTTTTTCTTCAACCATATAGCGCGGGATGCTAACACATGTAAATGCCACATGTGAGCACCTACGTCTTCCACGAGGACAAACGGTATGGCAAAAGCTGTTGGAGCTCCTGTCAATTTACGAGGGAAACCAAAGTCATTGGCTCATCGCAGCTTGCGTACACCCGCTACATTGGCCAGACAACAGATGCGCAATGCTGTATCAACATCACAATCACATGAACCATGCGGTGCGGCACAGATGAACCCACAATGCGGGAATGACCCTGACATTGGTGCTGGCTGTTTCACAGATGCTGTGGCAAACGTAAACGGGGGCAAAAAAAAAAGAAAAAAAAAAGAAAAACACTTCCCTGTTCTTTTTCAGCAAATTGGGCAGGTGCTCTGCCAATTCATTATATAGAAGAAAGCAGTAAAGCAGACCAACAGACGAGTCTCTCTAGCTGATTAGAAGACAGTGGATGCTCAGCTGCTTCATCTGCCAACGTTTGGGACACCGTAGAGACATCCTACATAACCGCATCCATAATCTGTTGCGATGGTTTTGCCTTGTTATAAAAATCCTGCAATATCGTTCTCTCCCAATATTCCAGGTTGAAGTGATGGTTCGGTCTCCCTGAGAAGTTTTTTTTCTTTTTTGAACGTAATCTCCCTGTGCTCTGCCAATATTCCAGTAGGTCTGTTTGCCCTGAACGATTTTGAACTAGATGCCCAAACTTGTTTCCTCTAAGATCAATTGGCCATTAGGTGCAAGTGAGATTCTGGCCTAGCGAAACACAATTTGCATATGGGGTCTGCTTGTCCGCCTCGCTTGATGATCCTATCTGAAGATGGTAGTCTTCATTGTAGGAGTAGCCACAGAAAGAATTTGCATTTTGGTTCAACCTTGCCCTTCTAGACTCTGTTCCACCTTATAAGTTCGGGTGTGTCCCGTTTTCTTGCAACTCATATACTGATTTTGTTGTGTAAGATCTTGATGTTGTAAACCTTCAAGCAATATCATCATACTCCGTAGTGAGGGTGGCATCCTGCAATTGTGTCCGACTGTCCGGAGTTATACGAATTGGCGTAGTTCTGTGTCCGTGGTTCAGCAGCACGACACTTTGTTTGCCCCTCCTTGGCTTCGGCTCAAACCGCCTTGGTTACTATAGATGGACAGATGGGTGGCACGATACCATTAGCTATGCATAGACACGTGCCGAGAGGCGGTGGGACAGCTTCGTCATCATCGAATGGAAGAAGCTGATGACAGCGGTATGACTGCAAGGGTATGTTTCGTCTCCAATGTCCCCCGGAACGGGATGGGCTGAAGACAACGGTATGACTGCTAGGGTATGTCAAAGGCCTTGTTTGGAACGCGATATAAATGAACTGGTTCATCCTACATTGCAAACTAATGTTTTTTTTTTGTGGTGAAGCGGGAAGGCGGACGAGGCAGTTAGTGACAAGAAAGGTCCGAGGAAGAAAGAAATTCCATTGGAAATGCAGCGTGTGCGTCGGTTAAAAGAAATTCCAGGAGTTGCGGAAATGCAGCGTGTGCGTCGGTTAATAGAAATTCCAGGAGTTGCCATTAGAAATGCAGCGTGTGCGTCGGTTAAAGACCCCCGTCGAATTGCAGGGCAGCGGCGCAGACTATCGATTAAGGTATGAAATTTGAGATCTTTTATAGTATAGATAGATATATAGATCAAAAACATATTCCAACATAACTGGTTCATTTAAATATTTGTGATCACCGGAGATCCAGAGACAGAAGTCTGTTCCAACAATATGGGATAACATAATGTACTACTCCCACGAAAAGACAACATAACCATAGCGGTAGATCCGTTTCAAGCTATGGAGATGGTTCAAAGTTTCACGGTGTCTTATTAATGAGATACCATGAGTGAAAAGAGAAGATATTCCATGAATAATCCCAATAGAAGAGGTAGCTTAGGCAGACACACCACCACGGCGGCACTCGTTCAGCATGTCAAGGTAGAACTGGCACTTGCTGATCTCACTGCCATAGTTGTTGAGACACTGCATCAACCAAAAGAAACAGTGAGAACACATCATCAAATCAGTATACAAAATGCAGGTCGACAATTCTTCATGATTTCAACAGAGCCAACAGTGTAAAACGATGATACCATTGCTATTTAATCTTGATTGAGAGCCTAGCTTTGATAAGTAGTTAGCAGGCAGTAAAAGAAAAAGAAAAAAAACAGGCACCACTCGCTACTGAAAGCTTCAGTGTCTCGGGGAAATTGACAGTCACTAAGCAATGTCACACTCACATTAGACCAAACATCAGCTAAAAATAAAGACGCCTAACAGTAACAAAAATATTTAACTGAATAGCTGAACTTGTTTCAGACAAGGGCCATATATCAGTCACTTCACACTTTACCCAATTTAGACCCTTTATTTAAAATGGAGGTTTTCACGATGGTAGAAGGAATATCAAACAAAATGTGAATGACAATATGCAGCTCTTCAACAACTAAACAAGTCACCATAACCTTTACTACCACATCACAGAAGTGATAACCAAACGTTTGATGCACCAAACTGAGGAAAAACTAAGCGGCATAAGGTGGCAAGTGAACATACATCTTGGAAGGCCTTAGAATGGATGCCGCAAGCATCAGTGTTCATAGCTGGAGCAGCAGGGGCAGCAGCGGCCGCCTCTGAGACAACAGTCTCATGCTGAATGGTCCGGGGACCCATTACAGCATCAACAGCCCTGTGTGCCATGGCACTACCAGTACCAAATGCCATACCTAAAACAAAGTGTTCGTTCAAATTAATTCGAGGATTACAATAATGTTTATAGCTGAAGCTATTCTGAAATGAACAAGCTTTGAATCCTACCTTGAGCAATGGTAGACCCGATTCCTCCAAGAATGGAGCCACCACCATCCCGAACAGGAGCTGGAGGAGGAGCCTGGCGTGCTGCCAAAAAGAAAGAAGTACGATGACACATTAGGAACAGATATAAAACAAAGTATAATTCCAATATGAACACAATGAACAGTAATCCTAATATAAACTGAAACAATTAATTCTAATTCCAAAGCAAGCAACAATTATGCTTGTACCACAAAAGTTGATGTGTCAGCATTAAGAACAGAAATGAAAAAAATTCTCGTTCCAATAAAAACACAATGAACTGTAATTCCTATATAAACTGAAACACAATTAACTCTGATTCCAATGCAATCAACAATTTTTAATATAAACTTATGGTAGATTTATGTCATGACCATTGTTATAGTAACAAACTGAACTTTAAACAATTGAACAAAAACAGTTATACAAAAACATAACTAAGGTTACATACTTGTACCACATTCACAACACAATACTGCAGAGTTAAAAGACACATGTGGACCATGGGAATGTTAGTTCTAAAGATATTTATCGTCTACGTGAATCACTTAAGTACCTGGCTGTGGTGGGTTCCTCACTGGAGCAGCACGTGGAGCCGGGCGTGGAGCGGACCTTCCTGCCAATACAATGGGAAAAAATAAGAATAAAGAATACAAAAACAAAGCTGCATGGTTTATCGTAAACAAAGCTAGCACAACCACAACCTCTACCTCCACTAGCAAAATAATGATGATGATGAAAATAGCAGTAACTGTAGGAATCAATCTAAGAAGGGATGAACAAAGAGAAGATCCATTCCCTCAAATGATCCTATTTGTTATGTGTCCCTGTCTGAACCAAATGCAAACATACTAATCAAAGCAACTTGTTATTCGAGAGGCACATCATATGTTACTTAGTCCAGTTTGAAAATGAGATCGCAGTCCTACAACAAATACATTCAGAAAGCCTTTGCTCCCTGAAACCTTGATACTAATCAACTACACAAGCAATCTTACGAGTGATTTGCATTACATGTCTACCATTCAATAAACCTCATAAGCAGAGAATGGCCAAAAAGAAAGGAAAGATGATGACACTACAATGTAAGGTTTTTCAAAGAACACATCCAACAAATGCTTGATGTGTTGCTCTGATCATCCAAGGTGACTTTGCCACGTATTTCTATGTGCCTCCTAACTAAACCAAGATAGTATATACAACTATGATGGCTACTCAAAAAGGCATATAGTAGTTAGTCCCAAAAAACAACTGAAACAACATTGCATTGGGAAGGATGGATCAAACAGTGATTATGTAGATAAATGTCTAGGGCTGCTTGGGGGGCACTTCTTGGTAAGACAGATGAGGTGCCCCCTCAAAAGGCCTAAATGGACATCAGATGGCCATTGCTATGTGCCCCCTAACTAAACCAAGACAGTACTCACGGACTGTAATGGCTACTCAAAGAGGCACTTATCAACTGACAATACAGCTACATACATACAACATTCATAAGATTCAATCCACTACCGAGGTGAATAATTTTCAGAAAAAATACCAAACACCTCATAAGGAAACACATTGTATATGTAAATCTATTCGAAATCCGAACGAGAAAGGATCAATGGAAATAACCCTTCGCTCGTGGGGATTCAGATTTGATCTATGCCCCTGTCTGAACCGCCTGCGAAGAGATAGTATCTGCAATCGGTTATTCAAGAAGCAATCACCCGCCCATTTCTTACAATTATCTAAACAAGCGGAGACCCAGCCCATTGAACGCAAGAAACAGATCCGGCTATTTCTGCAACTAAACATAGCAATCATGCGCAAATCGCAATCCTACCCCCACAGGCCCAATATAATTTGCACATACAAGACACAAGCGAGCAACAACATCATAGCGACTGAATCAAATCTACAAACGCCCTAACCTTGGCGCCCGGGAGGAGACAGCCCGGCCCGTCAACGCAAGGAACAACCGAATGTCGAGATGAAACCCTAGGAGGCGCCAGAGGGGATGGTTACCTGAGCTGCGGCGAGCCATGGCGGCGGCGGTGGCGAAACCCTAGCGAGACGGCTCGGGGCGAGGTGGGGAACGAATGAACAGAGACAGAACACAAACGGGCAAGGAGACTGAACACGGAAGGGCCTGTGCATTGGGCGCTAGGGTTCGGTTTTATAGGAGGAGAGTCTTCACTTATTACGCGCTGGGGCTGTCTTGCGAGACAAGAAGATCTGACGTGTGGGCTCGCGCGATTGTGCACGTGGGGCACAATAATGTGGGTCCATATGTCAGTTGCCGGTGGCGATAGGGTGCCATTCAACCTGGATGATTTTATGCTTGGAACAATCGGGATCCCACCAGATTGAGATTGACCTCTATCAAAATACGCCTCATTGCCTGGGCCCTGGGCCAAGCAAGTTTTCCGTCTTTGAACAAGCCCTATAAGCGTTATCGAGTCGTGTCATACCGGGTTAGGATCGGGCGCTCTTACGGTCCGGGCGGCCGGACAGAAACCAGCTGCCGAACGAATTATTTTCTGTTTTCCGCACGTGGTTCACCTAATCTGAATGCCGGTTAATTAATCTGCTTTCGCGGAGTTGCGTCTGAGGCTTGAAACGCGCGCGCTCTCCAGACTGTTCGCTTGCTCGTAAATTTTTAGCTGAGAATAGTATTTTTCTCTCACACCAAACCAGCCAGCAGTAAATAATCTATAATACGATACAGCCTCCCGTACAGGCAGCAGACTGCCCCTGGCGGACTCTTTTTTTTAATGAGCTGAACCACAGTATAGCGACGTGACATGCATTAAATCCAAAATGGTGACGTCAGCATATGTGCAATGCATTTTCAAGTTAAAAAAGTTATAACTACTAAACAAGTATCCAAATCAAAATCCGATTGCACCATTGTATTTCTTGCATTAAACTCTTCACAACAAGATCTCACATAGATACATTTTGATAAAATTTTATTGACGAATATTTATCTCATGAAGGTAGAATAATTCTTTTTATTGAGCACAATGATGTTCTAAGTCCACGGTAGAATGTTCTGTCATTATAAAACAAATATTCCAAGTTAAGGAGAATATGTATTTATGATTAACACAATATATGTTCATACAAATGGTATTATAATATCTATGAAAATAGAGAGAAAATTAATGAGAAAATCTATGAAATATATAGAAATAGACAAATAACATAACATATCAAAAATAGGAAAATAATAATAAAAGATAGAATAGGCATAAGGGAAAACAAAAATAATAGAAGAAGGTCCACATAAAAAGAGGAAAAAATAAAGAGAACAACATACCAATACTTCTTGAACTACCTAAAATATACCATAAAACATCGCACAAGTACTATGTGAATATTTCCTCACCACTACAAATATACATGATTTGTCTCAGTTATGAAATATTTACACTATTATAAATCATATCAGACCATCATAGAACATAAAAAATACATCATAGAATATCACATATATACCACATGAAAATAAAAAAACATCATAGAATATCACATATATATAATAAATGAACATCGCAAAAATACATCATAAAACATCATATGTATACTACACGAACATATCAAAATATATTATAGAACATCACATATGTACCACGTGAACATCACATAACATCATTTGTATATTATATGAACATTACCTGTATACTATGTGATCAACACAGAATATATTATAGAACATCACATGTATACTACGTGAACATCACAAAAATGTATCATAGAACACCACGTGTATACTACGTGAACATCACAAAAAATACCCCAAAAAATATCACAAAATATAGCATAGAATATCACATGTACACTACGTGAATATTATAAAATATATCATAGAATATCACATGTATACTATATTAACATCACAAAATATAACATAGAACATCATAGTATACGACATGAACATCACAAAATATATCTAGAACACCATATATATACGACGTGAACATCCAGTAAACATCATAAATCATCACTTGTATGTTGCGTGAACATCACATATATCTCATAAAATATAGAAAACTTAAAATAACCAGAATAAAAAAAAGAAAATAAATCAAAATGAAAATAAGAAAATCCAAAAAAACATAAAAGAGGTAGAAAGGAAAAAAGAAATAGAAAAAGGAAACATAAAAATATATAAAGAAAATAATAACTATATAAAATAAAATAATGAATGAAAAATAAAAAAGATAAAAGGATAAAAAACTAGAGAAAAAATAAAATAAAGACAAAAAGTTATTAGAAGAAAGAAAAAACAAAGAAAAATAAAAAAAATAAAGAGAGTAAAAAGAAAAGAAAAATAAGTAAAAAGAAAAGCAAAGAAAAACAAAATAATAATAAGCTAAAAAGGAAAAGAATAAAAAAAGAAAATAAAAGAAAAAAGAAAGGACACCAGCTCACGGAAGGACACAGGTCAACAAGCTAGCAGCAGAAGAAAGGCCCAAACATCTTCAAAGCCTAAAATAAATAGGGATAATTGTCTGTTAGACATCTAAAGTGGTGGTGCTTTGCTAGCGGACACCCACTTTGGAGCATTTTGCTAGAAGGCACTCTGATTCGGTGAAATTAGGCCACAGGACACCATGGACCGGTTGTAGCCGGTTGAGCAGAGAGAACATCGGTGAAATAACATTTTGCCCCTGCTGCTTTCTTCTTCCTCTCTCCCTTTATCTTTTTTTCTATTTCCTATCCCCGCCACCCTCACCGCCTCCCACACCCGCCGTCGCGCATAAGGATTGCAACAGGCGGGTTCGGATCGGGTGGAGTCTCTGGGCACCCAAAATCGAACTAAAAACCCGAATCCGGCCCGAACACCAATTCAGGTAAAAATCCATCCTCAAACCGAAACTCGCGGATCCCTAAAACCTAACGGATTATCAAAAACCCAAAACATTGAACCGAGAATCTGTGTTCGCGAGCGACTCGCAGGGCGGGACCGAGATGGCCGTCGGGACGAGTCGGTGAGAGGGAAGGCGTCGGCGCTGCAGTGGTGAAGGTGGTCGGCGTTGAAGCGTGGGGGCAGGCCGCGGATGTGGATCCACCGACCTGAGCAGAGGTCCGGCCCATCGACGCGGCGGCGCGGGGCACGGCTGCAACGCTGAGGAGGGGGAGGAAGAGTGGATGTGATGGCCGCCTAGCCCTATGCGATGAGCCGCTGTCTGAGGAGCACCGCGCCGCCGCCTGCGTGTCTACGTCTGGGGCTTTGGGGGTGCCACGTGGTGTCTGTGCCGCCACCTGCGAGACTACGGTTGGGGCCTAGGGGGCACCGCGCGGCCTGTGCCGCCACCTGTGGGCCTATGGCTAGGGTGAAAGGATCTAACAATGCCTAGAGGGGGTGAATAGGCGTATCTAAAAATTTACTGCAAATGCTAAGTTCAAATCTATCAGCCACTGTCGGAAGTCCTGACGTTTGGGTCAGAACTCCTAACGTTGTCAGAAGTTCCGGCGTAAACGTCAGCAGTTCCGACTTCTACGTGAACTACAAAAGCAGTGTCAAATTTAACTTTGCGGATAAATAATCTTACAACCTCACTTCCTAGTGGTTTGGTGAAGATGTTGGGTCACTCCCTTAACGCCGTAATGCCTCCAAACCGTAGATCGAGTCCAACCCCTAAAATGAAGATTTTGGAGACAAAGAGACAAACACATACAAGTAATCTCAAACAATCACAACAACAACAAGCACGCGGGACACAAGGATTTATCTTAAGGTTCGTCAACCCTACAAAGGAGCTCCTATGTCCTCGTTGTTGAGGTGACCACCAAGGTCGGAGTCTATTTCACCTCCTTGCCTCTCTCAAAGCGACCACAAAGGTCACTTGAGTTTTCCACTAAGAAATCGAAGGGCAATACAAACTTTCCTAGGTTCTTCCACAAGATGGAAGCTCTTGGGCAACGCTCTAGCCGGCTAGGGGCAAAGCCCCAAGAGTAATAGACGCAAAATCAACTAGTTTGACGAAGAAACAAAGTGCTCAAGCTTTCCAAAATGACGCTCTCACTTAATTCACTCTCCTTTTACTCAAAACCCTAAGGGAATCAAAGATTAGAGCAAAGGGAGAGGAGAGGGGTGCTTTAGTTGTTTGGGAGCTGTTGAGCACGAAGTAGGTCAACTGTTAATAAGTTCGTAACGGTTAGAAGTGAAGAGAGGAGTATAAATACTCTAGGTGAAAATCTAACCATTTAGATCTACGTCGGAAGTTCCGACGCAGATCTTAGAACTTCCGATGTTAATAGAAAACACTGTTTATAAAGGGCAGAAGTCCGTGCGTGTAGGTCGGTGTCGGAACTCCCGCCAAACATCGGGACTTTCGATGGTCGGAACTCCCGACGAACGTCAGGACTTCCGACGTGCGCAGTAAGTCAACTAGTAAAGCTCCAGGTGTTGGGACTCCCGGCAAGGTCTGGGACTTCCGACGGTCGAAAGTTCCGACGTACGTCAGGACTTCCGACGAGCACAGACAGCTAGATAGTCAGAACCACCGATGCCGAGACTCCCGGCTTGGGTCGGGACTTTCGACGTCCACTGTCACCGTGCAGGCTAAGTGACTGGGAGTCAGGACTTTCGGCATGAGTTGTGACTTCCGACGGTCAGGAGTTCCGGCTTACGTCGGGACTTTCGACACCGATAGTCATAGAAAAATAATCTATGTGCTCATGGAGTGCTAGAGTATCCACTTTTTTATTTTATTTTTATGCTTGAACACTCTATCTTCCTCAGACCAAATAAGTTTGCATCCCTCTTTATAGTACAGCGGATCCTAAACTCAAAATCAAAATTAAAACCTTTATAGAGCATTTTGAGTTCGTCCGCCTTTATAACTTCAAGAATTGAGGGATAGCATTTTATCTTTATCAACTCTTTGAATCTTTCATGGTACTAATAACTGCAACATGTCTCATTAAGATCATATTAGTCCCTAATTTGAATGTCATCAATACACCAAAAACCCACATAGGAGGCAAATGCACTTTTAATCTCACCCTTTTTAGTAATTAATGACAACCAAC